TAATTTTTATCAATCTCTTTTGTAATACTTGAAAAAATCTAATAGTTTGTGAAAAATATCTTAACTTCATTTTTCTAAATAAAACATTTAGTTCATAATCATGACATATTAATATCTTATCTATTTTTATTCTAAAAAAAATCGAAACCTTATCTTCATAAATTAGAATTAAGTTGAAATTTATCTATTGATTTCTTTTACTGTAATTTCAAAAAGATTTTATATGTCATGTATTACTAATACAACTAATTTAATTTAATTTATCATCATGTTCAGAAGATATATATTGAGTTTAGCTGCTACATATGTTAATAAAATAGTTTTTTTTATCATTTAAACAATTATTTGTATTTATTTTAACCAAAATTGTTATTTTTCAAACATTTGTTCGTTATTTATATATTTTTCTATTTTTTATTAATTGACGCAATGTCCACGTGCAACGCACGTATACTAAAACTAGTTATATTAAAAGCACGAATGCCCTTAGCAAAATGTCGTTCGTCTTTTTTATTATTTTAAAATAGAGTTCACACTTGACAAAATAGTCATTAACTATTTTCTTAATATTTAAGAATACTCATTTAAAATAATTTCCTACTATTTAGGAATAGTCATTTAATTAATTCCCTACTATATGGGAATTACCATTTAATTACTCCTTTAATATTTATAATATTGATCTTCAATTCTTTTTGGTTCTAGAATTTCAAGCACACATAGTAGGAAAGATTATAGTTCATTACATAATACGAAAGTTTCCGTCCAAATCCATTAATATTTAGGAGTATTATTAAAATTTTCCTTTTAAATTTAGGAGGGTCTTTTTTCAGTTAATAAAGTTTTGTCTAATTCGCACACAATAGGAAGGTTTCGGTTTTTTTTAGTTAATAAAATTTTCACTAATTAACATACACTATGAAACTTTCGATACTTTCAACTATATTCAAATTTAGAAGTATTAAAATTTTCACACTTGAAAAATCTTTTTAGTAAACAAAATTTTAACTAATTCGCATACACATACTAGGAAAGTTTTGGTATAAATGTTTGACACTAATTTTTATAAAATATATTAGGTGAAAACGAGCTTTTGTGAACTTCTTTTTTATTAGAGTTTTTTGAATAAATTTTTAAACAATTATATACACAAGTACTTCTATAAAAGAAGTCATAATTACACCTCTTCATCATTATAAAACTTCGCCTTGTTGAAGCAGCAACTACAAAATTAAGGGTTTCAGGTTCTATTTCTTTGAGTAAATTTCTTTTATATTTAGTTGAATTTTGTATTCATGTATTTGTATTAGTAGTTGAATTTTGCTTTCACATATTAGTAGTTGAATTTTGCATGCACGTATTCAACCGATACATCTTTATTTTGATGTTCTTGATTGTGAATCTTGATTGCATAGTCGCCTTTTTTGCATTAGAGTGTATGCTTCAATCATTTGTCAAGTTATTTCTTCTACTATTTTTTTGTGCTCTCATTGGATATTTTTTTCCGTTTTAAACAACTTTTAATAGAACTTAAATTGGACAAAACTGTATTAAATTATTTTTCTTAAAATTATAAGATTTTGTAATTAACTAAAATTTTAGTTATAATTTTTTAAAGTATTTGAACTAAGTGAGAAATAATAATATTTAATACGCTAATCAATTAAGATTTTGCTTTATATAAATTCTTTCTTTGTTTGAACTATATAAAATACCTATAATTTATTTTTAAAAACTTTATCATTCAAATTTAATAGGATAATGGAATGCAAATTCTCCACGTACTCTGATTTTGTAACGGAATGTGAATAAAATCCTTTGTTTATTTCAGATAGCTATGTGGATTGTGGCCAATGATTTTGCTACTTCGAGTTCATGCATGATTCAAGACTATTACCGAAAAAATATCAAAGAGAGGATAAAACGTAGTTTTTTGTTGGGATATTAAATCTTTTACGGAATCAAAGTTCTTTAAAAAGAGCTTTACTTAGTAGTAAATTTACTTCAGATAAAAGAGATCAAAAATTTCATTTAATTAAACGCATACAAAAATGAAAAAAGAAAAAGATATATCTTCACTCGCTAAAAAAACGCACCTTTATTTTTTATTGTATTTTTTAATTTTATTTTTTGGAGCACATCAATGCAATAATGCCATAATATATTTTTGAAAAAAAAAAGAAAGAAAAGAGGAGTAATCACAGTGAAGTATCTTTAAATCTCTTTTGCACCTGATTATCATATCATTTTAATGAACGAAAACAACTCCAAACCATATACATAAAAAAAATGGATCAAACAAAATATACATGAATTCATAACCACGTTTCCTTTATGTTTGCCGATCATTTTTAAAATTCTATATCGCTTTATATATATACACGGACATTAGTACAAAATATTTATACAATCAAATTACTTATAACAATAATAACAAATTTGATAACAGTACACTAACAATGCAAATAAACTTTATATTGTCAATTATACGTACATAAATCTTGTTATAATTAATACTTGTACAGTTTTTTTAACCCCACCATTGGTGTACAGCAACACCCTCATCCCTTAACATACCATACAAAGATAAACATTCCCAATATGCCCTCCTACTTTTCTTTTTATCACCTTTTTTAATACCTTGATGTTTACACTCCAAGAAGAGTTCATCAACTAACCTAATTGCTTTGTTTCTCACCATTTCTTCAACCACTTCAGCTTCTGCCTTCATTACCACATATTCATTTTCTTTCACATTCTTCTTTAGCCAATCAGACATTCCAATCAATTGTGCAGATGACTCTTTTGTCACTGTTTCAATCTTGAATATCTCGAATTTCGTATTCCTCGTTGGATAATGCTTCGAAAACCAACTCGAATCGGCTGATCCTTCGTTCTTTTCTTGTAAACCAACATCAATAAAGACCCTTCGTGGGTAACTTTCTAGGGGAATATCCATCAACTCTGATAAATAACGAGTCCGTTTGAGATATCTGCTAGATTTACCTGATGCTGCTCTTGGTGGTTCAAGTAATACATCTTCTAGTTTTTTCAATGCTGCCTCTTTTGCCTTTGGAGCAAAGTTGCACAATTTTCTATGATGTGTAGTAGGAGTAGTACTAGTTTTGGTAGAGGCATAAGTACTTGTCTTTTTCATGGCAATAATTGTGGAATCAAATTTTCGAACATAGACAACTTTGTAGTTTGATGGTTGTATAAATGTAGTCATGGGGTTGTCGTTAATTAGTTGGACAGCAACAATACCACCTACTTTCAGAGCGCGATCAATAAAATTAACAGATTCGGAGAAGCCGTTGGGAATTAGCGCAAAGTCAAAAGTTTCTTTAAGAAAGAGACTTTTTTGACGTGCCAAATCTGAAAAAGAAATCAAATCCATCTTGTAATCACTTGTAACTTGAGAATTGTAAATAGCTTGATCTTCATTTCCATTGGTAACAAGTAGGGACCTATCCCCCATTTTGAGAAGGCCTTCATTGGCCAAATCATGAAAAATGAGAGGCAAAAACTCCAACTTGATCGGATTATAATTAGCCATCTCAACTTTAGAAACGTTAATATATCCGTAGCTCGATGTTAAACCCCTGATTATCGTATTAATCCAGGGGAAAGAGAGAACAACCAATGCCAAAATGGCTGCTTGAGAAATCAACTTCAAAATCGACAAATGGTGAAATCTTATGATGACCAAATGCGTATCACCGTGAAAGCCTAAGGCATCCATGTATAGGCTTTTCATTTTGTCTTGTTTCTTGGTGTGAAAATTATGCAACAAACTCATTGTTTTATACGTCATGTTTATTGGATGAAACAAGTTAATCACATGAAAATTCTGCTTTCACTGTTAATCAGAAGTCAAATCGTGTTCGACCGATTAAGTCCTGAGAGAATTTTCGTCCTACCGACACGAATCTAAATTAGTCGGGCCAGTAGGCAAAAGAAGAAGGTTGAAATTTTTTTGAGGCTAGCCGAGGAAGGTTGAAGGTGTTTGCAATTTTTGGAAAAGAGAGCATGCAAATTATAATTCAATCTAAGAGCAAAAGGGAAGAGGTAGAGAGCTTGGATTTGCAAGAATTTTAGCGAGTGCAAAACCTGGCAGCGGTGTGGTTTCCACCCACGAGGGCAACACGATTACTTTGCAATTTTGAAAATAACCACAATAATTCTTGTAGCCTTTGAACCTCCATTTTTTAAAACTATATAAATCTCCTTCCTTTTGTATGGTTTTCAGATCGACATGACTTTTTTTTTATCTACTTCATGATATCACTTTTGATATATTAATTGGAAACGAAAAAACATCTCCAATTAATAATATTTTTGGCAATCGATCTGAAAGAAATAAGGAAGGAGGAACAAGTACAAGAGAAAAAGACTAAAGACTTTATTTCTTTTTTGAGTGTTTCTTTTCTTTTATGATCTCTAAATGCTATTGTTGTCCTTCCTTTTAAAAGGCTATATAGCAACTAATATAGTACAAACGGTTTCATAGAAGAAAGCTGTTAGAAAAAAGAGAAAAGTCCTTTCTTGTTTGAAAGAATGGTTGGTAATGCGAAAATTTCTAACGCAAAACTAATGGTGAAAATTTGTTTACTATGTTGACCAATTTGGTTAGGGGAATGAACAAACAAATATGAAAGGTTAGTATTAACTATTTCACTATAACCATTGAACAAGAATTTGTTAGACGTGTTGGTGCATCTAACTATTGGCATCATTGTGGTGGGATACAATCATATTACTTATTAGATAATTATCGATAAATATCTTGATAAGCATTAATTGATAATTTGAGAAAAATAATGGCTAACCTGTAATTACAAGTTAAAATTGACAATTAGTGTAAATAATCTTTACATTATCAGCCTAAAAGTTGTAAAGGTAAATGGGTTTGCAATCCCTTAAGTAACTTACAATTATGGTGCAAGCTTATTGGTTAGACCTATGATAAGTTTCCTCCTAAGATTACTAATATTTCTCCAAAACGCATTGTCCTAGCAAATCAAAAGATAGTATACCATTTCATTCAAATTCAATGTTCCTCCACTAGACAATCTTATGTCTCGATTTCGATTTGGTCTTGCAACATTGTACTTAGATAATGTTCAAATCAAAAGATACATTATTCATAAACAACATAACTGTATACGGTAAAAACCGGTTAGTCTTTCGTACGAACTGATCGAGATAGTAATTCATTGGATCGGAGAAGCATCTTCATAATCAGGTTGAGATACAGAGTCAGGTCACCAAGTTTCGAGCCCTAAGGACCAATCAATGTCGAGCTCGATATTATTATCGAGCTCGAGTCCAAATCGAACTATGACGCAAAGTGAAGTTATCGAGCTTACGAGGCAGAGACCGACCAACACTGACCCCGAATCAATACAAGGATCCGGGCCAGAATCGAGCTCGAGTCAAGATTGAGAGCTCGGGTCAAGATCGAGCTTATAGACAAGAGCCGTTGCAATTCCACTAGAGGAGAGAATCTTGGCAGAAATTATGGAAAAACTGATTTATCATGGGTCTCCCACTATGTATATTTAATTATATCTAAAGTAGAATCCCTCCACTATAAAGGGTATGATTATTATTTATGTAAAGGGCAAGTTTTTGCATACTTGGTAACTGAGATATCACACATTTCATATTGAAGAACTATCCTTTCTAGCTTCATATCTTTCATCATCACAATCAAAGATTTGATATTTCTATTTATCCATACGATTTGTGTTGAGTTATACCACATATCCTTAGAACTACGTACAAATTTAACTCTATTCATTTTTTGGGTAAAGATAACAGTGGTTATTTAATACGAATCTGTAAAAACACATCGTTTTGCGCTTAGTGTCTTGGATTTCGGATTAGCAATGACCAATTATCAATCAAATGGCCTTACCTATTGACAACGAAGCTGATCTTCAAGATGAGAACAACAACTTGACACCCTGTACTGAAAGACCACTTGTCAATGTCGTTGGAGCTCGAATCGAAGTACCGATAGACATCAATTCGCATGTGGCCATTGAGGCGAATCTACATTCTGAACCTGAAAATAGCATGCATGGTGGCACTCGGTCTGCAACTCGAGATACCCATAACGTCGAGGAAAACAACGTCATCTTGCGTATGATTTTCGAAATGTTGCAAGATCAACAGGCAGCAATAACTCAGTTGTAGAGTCAAACCCAGATACCGAGTAGACCGGAGCCCTGTCAACCCCGAGAAATCACCCCTACAACGGAACCAGATATAGTGAAATCAAACGAGCAGGAGTCGGGGACTAATCCCGAAATTGCTAAAGAATCAGGAGAAAAAAGGATCGAAGCAAACGATAAAAAGGTAGAAACATACAACTCCAGGGTTGATCAGATCCCGGGGGCACTGCCATTATTAAAGGGCTTAGATTCCAAAAAATTCATACAAAAACCTTTCCTACCAAGCGCGACTCCTAAACCGATCCCAAAGAAGTTCCGCATGCCCGAGATTCCTAAATATAATGGAACTACCGATCCCATCAAACATGTCACCTCATACACATGTGGCATCAAAGGGAACGATCTAGAGGATGATGAGATCGAATCCGTATTACTGAAGAAATTTGATAAAACCTGTAAAAGGGATCAATGATATGATATCATAATTTTCCGTCTAATTCTATCGATTCTTTTGCAATGCTTGCAGATTTCTTCGTAAAAGCACACGCCGAGGCCATAAAAGTCCAGACCAGGAAGTCGGACCTGTTTAAAGTAAGACAAAGGGATAACGAGATGTTAAGGGAGTTCGTGTCTTATTTTCAAATCGAACAAATGGATCTACCCCCAGTCACAGACGATTGGGCTATTCAGACTTTCACTCAAGGTTTGAACGAACGAAATTCGACGGCTTCACGGTGGTTAAAGCATAACCTGACCAAGTACCCAGCTATCACTTGGGCCGATGTACACAATCGGTACCAATCAAAAATTAGAGTCGATATCAGTTGGGGTCTGAGCCCGCTGCTCGAAGGGATATCAATCGAGAACAAGGTCCGATCAGGGATCGATACTGACTGTATAACGAAAACCACATAATCAATGAGTCGAGACATAACCCCGGACAAAGCAACAAAAAAAGTGATCGAGGTCAAGGGTATCGGCGGCTGATAAACAGAAGTGGGCTCGACAGGCCTACCGGATCTAAGGAAGCACCTCGGCTATCGGAGTATAACTTCAACGTTGATGCATCTACCATCGTGTCGGCTATCGGACGTATCAAAGACACCAAATGGCCTCGACCCATGCAGACCGATACTGCCCAAAGGAATCCCAATCAAATGTGTGAGTATCATGGAACCCATGGCCACAGAATGGAAGATTGCAGGCAACTAAGAGAGGAGGTAGCTCGGTTATTCAATAAAGGGCACCTTCGAGAATTCTTAAGCGACAGGGCGAAGAACCATTTCAAAAATAGGGATTTCGGTAAGCAAAACGAATAAGAAGAACCACAACACATCATCCACATGATCATCGTCGGCGTCGATACCCCTCAAGGGCCGGTGCTTAAACGCACTAAGACATCGATTATGAGAGAAAAACAATCTCGAACTCAGGATTACGCACCCATAGGAACTTTGTCCTTCAATGATGATGATGCAAAAGGAGTCATACAACCTCATAATGATGCACTGGTAATATCCGTACTTATGAATAAAACTAAAGTTAAGCGTGTGTTAATTGATCCAGGTAGCTCGGCCAACATCATTAGATCGAAGGTTGTAGAACAATTTGGTCTACAAGACCAGGTCGTACCCACAACCCTGGTTCTAAATGGATTCAATATGGCATGTGAAACCACCAAAGGTGAGATAATTCTGCCGATAAACGTGGCCGGAACCATCCAGGAAATGAAGTTCCACGTAATCGAAGGCGACATGAGGTACAACGCCCTTTTTGGGAGGCCATGGATCCACAACATGAGAGTTGTACCTTCGAACCTACACCAGGTTCTTAAATTCCCAACATCGGGGGGAGTCAAAACAGTGTACGGAGAACAATCGGCCGCAAGGGAAATGTTGCCGTCGAAGAAGAAATTTCGATACCCTCACCCTCGTCAACAAAGGGATCGAACTCAAAAGGGGAACAAAATTCCAAATAGCAATTGCAGACGTTAGCTTTAACCCAACCAGAAAATCAAAAGATCGAGGTAGATGATGATCAAAGGATCCCTTGATCCTTCGTGGTTCCCGATGATTCCAACGCTACCCAATCAACGATTGAAGAATTGGAGCAAGTCGTACTAATCGAACATTTGCCTGAACGAAAGGTATACCTGGGAACGGGATTAACCCCCGAACTCAGGAAAAGGTTTATTCAATTTCTTATTGATAACATAGACTGTTTTGCTTGGTCCCATTTAGATATAACAGGGACCCTACCGGATATAACGATGCATCGGCTAAGCCTGGACCCTAAGTTCAAACCGGTGAAGCAAAAAAGAAGACCCCAGTCCGAGGTAAAACACACATTCATAAAGGACGAGGTAACTAAACTTCTCAAAATAGGGTCTATTCGGGAGGTAAAATATCCCGAATGGCTAGCCAATGTAGTTGTAGTCCCTAAAAAAGGGAACAAACTTAGAATGTATGTAGATTATAAGGATTTAAACAAGGCATGCCCCAAAGATTCTTTTCCACTACCTAACATCGATCGCATGATCGATGCCACGGTCGGCCACGAGGTCCTTACTTTTCTCTATGCCTATTCCGAGTATAATCAAATCCAAATGAACCCGGAAGACCAGGAAAAGACTTCATTTGTCACCAAGTATGGAACATATTGTTATAATGTGATGCCCTTCGGGCTAAAAAATGCAGGAGCTACTTACCAACGCCTAGTAAAGAAAATGTTCGAGGAACAAATAGGTAAATCAATGAAAGTTTATATTAATGACATGCTAGTTAAGTCCCTACGCGCATAGGACCATTTGACTCATTTGCAGGAAATATTCGAGATTTTAAGGAAATACAACATGAAGCTCAACCCCGAGAAATGTGCTTTCGGGGTCAGTTCGGGCAAGTTTCTCGGCTTCATGGTTTCAAATCGGGGATCGAGATTAACCTCGATAAAATCAAGGCTATCGAAGACATCGCCATCGTGGACAGTGTAAAAGCCGTGCAGAGGCTAACGGGGCGGATTGCTGCCTTAGGCTGATTCATTTCAAGGTCGTCAG